GATGGCATTGTTTGACCAAGACTAATCTCTGAGACTGAATTCACAAGGATTAGTAAGGTGTATTAGAACATTAAGCCCGTTTGTTTGCCGGTGAGTATTGTTCGTCTTGAGTTATACTCTTACTTGATTCAGCGGAAACGTCTAGGTCTCACAGGAGAGGTTCCTCCCCCTGACATCACTTTCCCAAGTGCTGGACACATGTGAATTTCACTGTGATTTACTTCCCTAAAATATTCCTCTGAGCCTCGTACCCAGTCCCCATGATGACCAGGTCCCGATGGGGTTAGGGTTGCCCCCCAGTCAGCATGTGACAAGGAAGGAACAGTCGCACAGATTAATGGGGGCCCACCCATTGGAAATATGAAATTAACTGATAACTTGAAATAATTTGGGGGGGAAGATGAGATGAGTCAGCCTACCTAATACCCATGTGTTGGATGGCTGTTTTTGAGGCAGAGTCTGAGAAGACCATGATTATTGATGAAGAAAGGAAACTACTGTAGTTATAACTGAAACACATCATACTTGGTTCAGACCAGGAGAATAAAATAGCTTGGAAGGCCATTTAGGTGCCATGAGCTGAGGAATGGGGCACAGTCCCCTGTCCTCCCAAGCTAAGTTTTATGCTTCGGAGCTCCTGAACTGTTGTCAGAGATGAACACATAAAGTGAGTTTGGATGCATCTCATTGTTCCTTTATGATTATCAGTGCATTTTCTTGGGTATTGGTGATGACATTATCGATGACACTTCGTGATCAGATGTTCATTTCTGAGCAGTCCTAGTTATCACTGCAGTGATGCATCCCTAGACTTGTGGCTTCTCTGCCAGAACATGGAGTCTAAAGCCTGTCCCTCTTGTTCTGGATGTTTCTACCCATTATGAAGAGGAGAAGAAAAAGGACTACTTGGCTTAGTGGTCCCCCTCTTCCCGTTACATCTCCGCTGCAGTGTAAGTCACTGATGCTGCTCTCATGAACCAGGTCCCTTCTGTGTGGGTTTTGGAGCACAGTTTGCCATAGCCTGAGTCCAGGCTCTCGCCCACTTGTCCTAGTATGTCCAGCTCTCGTCCAGTGCTCTGTGACCAGTGTCTGAGGTTGCCTGCGGTCCCTGAACGAGCAGATGAGGTTAAGGGAGAGTGATCCAAGAGCTTAGAGATCACGGACATAACAAGTGACACGGGGGACCCAACACTCCCTTTTCCTTGCTCACAGCCTGAAGGCAGGCCCTGAGTGCAGTGTCTGTCATGTCTCTCTCCTGTTGCTTCTTCTGGGGACAGTGGTTGGACACCACAGAAGGGATAAGCCCCGTTGCTACCGTTTCTCTGAGAAAGCGTCGCCCCTTCTCAGGGTGCTTCTGTCACTGGGTCCTGCCATTTGCCTCTTGAGCAGGTCACTCACGTTGTTTATCCTCGTCCTTGCAAATATTTTAGTTGGACAAACATCTGCTAGTTGTGTGTATTTGAACAGTCTTTCCACTGTAAATTCATACTTAATCCGTTGCCTGCTATTCCAAACACTCATTTTGATTGTATTTATGTGATTCATCTAAATCAAACTTAAGTTTGAAAGTGCATTTTTTCTATGCCTAAAGGGAAAGGAGGCTTTTAGGTACTAATGATCTCTCTAGTGGTGCAGCGTTATCTGGAAGTTTCTGCCAGACATTCTCTTCCTTGGGCTGGCCTTACAGTTCTTGCCGTTGTGGAATTCCCTCCTAGAAACTCCACCCATTCCGTGTCAGTAGCTTCTGTGTAGTTCTGAGCTGCTTCTCTCACCCACCTTCCCAACTTCCCAGGGTGCTGTTTTTATAAAATCTATCTCCACATAATAATTAGTAATGACAGTAAAATGAAGCAGCTCAGGAAGAGAGACAGTACAGTGGGTAGGGTGCTTGCCTGGCATTTGGTCTAGTCTTCGACACCCCATGTGGTCCCCCAAGTTTGCCAGGAGTGATCTCTGAGCACAGAGCCAGGAGTCAGCCCTGAGTACTTCCGATATGCTCCCCCCTAACCCAGAAACAACAACACTTAAAGATAAGCCACTCACACTACTCAGAAGCCAAGTCCAGAATTAGGGTCGCACTGTCTGCCCACTGGGGCCCTTCCTACTCCGGGATCTCCGCCTGGGGGTTGGTGCTCCTGTGCAGTGCTCCGAGGGAGCAGGAAAGGAGACTCGGGGTCGGCTGTGCGTGATATTCTTGCTCCCCAGGTACAGCGGGACGTCTGCGGGAAGCCACCCAGAGGCACCTTTCTTCCTTCTGTAATCAGCTGTTCTCTCCATGATTTATTTTTATTTGGAGCACTTTTGTTGCATCTGGTACTTCCCGTCTTTAAATCCTGCCCGTGCTGATGAGACCCGCCCGCCTTCTGCCTGTGTGGTGTTTTTGGAGCTGTTTTCCTGCCACCCTGTATCATTGTCATTGTGCCTTGTTCCTTGTTCTGACTGCCTCCCCAGAACTCTTGATTTTTTTTCTTTAACACACCTTTCTATCAGTCGCCAGTGTCAGGGACATCTGAGTGACGTCATAAGGCCTTTTCACGGTGGGTATTTGCCCTTTTTTTAATCACAGGAAAAGGCATGTAGATGTTGCTTTTGCGAATATCTTTGATGGTCTGTCATCACAAAACATAGCAGGCTTTGGAGTTAAATTGAATTCATTTTAAGTCTAACTCTATTTTGAAGTAGGGAATGTTCTTAGAAGAGTCGCCCCACTTATTTAGACTTTCGTTTCCTGGTCAGTGAAATCAGATGAATACCGCGACCTTCCCAGCTCATCAGGGGGCTTAGAAGTGACCTGAGCCGGGTACGACTGCTGCCGTGTGGGAAGCGTTTGGTTCTGATCCGTGTTGGCGTTCTTCACTTGCGAGCTGATGCTGGCTGGGCCATGAGCTGTACCGAGAGCTGGTTAGCGGCTGTGGGTCCATCAACAAGTGGCTCACGTGGCTCCAGGTGTCGGCCGTGAGGCTAGACTGGGATCTTTTTATTATTATTATTATTATTATTATTATAATTGTTATTAGCAGGTAGGGCATTTGCCTTGCACGCGGACAATCTGGGTTCGATTCCTCCGTTCCTCTTGGAGAAGCTGGAAGGCTACTGAGAGTATCCCGCTCACACGGCAGAGCCTGGCAAACTCCCCGTGGCGTATTCCATATGCCAAAACCAGTAACAAAAAGTCTCACAATGGAGACATAAATTGATGACCAATAGGAAGACAGTGCAAGAGTGCTACATTATTATAATTATATTTTTTAATGAATCACCATGAGATACAGTTACAGACTTACAAACTTTCGTGATTATGTTTCAGTCATACAATGATCGAGTGCCCATCCCTCCACTAGTGCCCATTCTCCATCACCAATAATCCCAATAGCCCTTCTGCCACCCCCACCACATCCCCCTCTTTGGCAGACACATTTCCTTTCTCTCTCTCTCTCTCTCTCTCTCTCTCTCTCTCTCTCTCATTCTGGGTGTTATGGTCTGCAATACGGGTACTAAGAGGCCATCCTGTTCGGTCTATAGTCTACTTTCAGCTTGTATCTCCCATCCCGAGTGGGCCCTCCAAACTCCCTTTACTTGGTGGTCCCTTCTTGTCTGAGCTGCCTTTTCCCCCCAGCATGTGAGGCCGGTTTCCAAGCTGTGGAGCAATCTTCCTGGCCCTTATCTCCACCTTCTTTGGGTGTTCGTCTTCCATTCTCTTACTTTATATTCCACAAATGAGTGCGGTCCTTCTATGTGTGCCCCTCTCTCTCTGACTCATTTCACTTAGCATGATACTCTCCAAGTTGGTCCACCTATATGCAAATTTCATGACTTCATCTTTTCTAACAGCTGCATAGTATTCCCTTGTGTAGATGTACCAGAGTTCTTTAAAGGACTGGGGTCTTTTTAAAGGAAAATCTAGGCCCCAGAGGGTGTAGAGCGGGTAGCCCACTTGCCTTGCTTTCTCCCCAGCCCCTTCCCCTGAGCCTGACTCCTCCCCAAAAAATGGTGAACTCTGTCCCCCAGACCCCTGCAACAGATGGGAGAGTCCATGCTGGCAGCTGCATGGACGGCTGGGGCAGCAGAGTGATCGCTTGTTGCTTCATCTCCGTAAGGTCAGCCAGGGACTGTGCACACCCAGTGTCCAAGGCTGACAGGGACCCTTGGGGCTGCTGCCCCCTGCCAGGGAGATGGACCACCCCCCTCTGTGCCGTGCAGGGCCCCCCGCATGTCCGCAGAGCAGAGCGGGTGGAGAGGCAGCAGGGCCCGAGGATGCGTGGCTGAGTCTGTGCTGGCCAGGGGTCCCAATCTCCGTTCAGGGAGGGGAGGGGGTCTGCAGGCTCGGCTGGGAGGGCGGGAGGAGGAAGGGGGGAAGGAGGAGCCGGGGTGCAGGCAGCCAGGCAGGATGCGACTGGCAATGGAGGCAGGTGGGGGACTCCTGGGAGGCTCCACTCTGGGTCTGCAGGGGAGAGTGCCGGCCAGCCACGGGGTCTCTGGTCTCTGGGTGTCTGTGGGGACCAGCAGCAACTCAGGTGTATGCCCTCTGACCCTGGCACCCTCTGACCCCTCTCCCTCAGCACAGCCTGAGGCTCTTCCCTGTGTCATCCCCGACTATTCACCCTGCGCCTTTGAGGTGGACACTGAGGGTGCCACAGAGGGGGGGTGGTGTGTGTGTATCTCTGTGTGTGTGTCTGTGTCTCTGTGTGTCTGTGTGTGTGTTGTGTGTGTCTGTGTCTGTGTGTGTTTGTGTGTATGTCTGTGTGTCTGTGTGTGTGTATGTGTGTGTGTGTGTCGCTGCTGCCCCAGAAGCACCTGCCAGACTCCAGAACACCTCTGTTCCCCAAAGCACGCCCTGTGGTCTGCAGGTGGCCAGCCCATTGGTCCTCTAAACGTGGTCTCCCCACCCCCCGACATTGGGATGTGCATTTCCAAGGAGAGGGGAGGGCGCGGGGCTGTCATGGCCCCCCGGCGGGGCCCTCTGCGATGCTCACTTGTCTCCTCTCCCCTTCTCTCCGCAGTGTTCGTCAGGTTCAACTCCAGCCATGGGTTCCCGGTGGAGGTGGACTCCGACACCAGCATCTTCCAGCTCAAGGAGGAGGTTGCCAAGCGACAGGGCGTTCCGGCTGACCAGCTGCGGGTGATTTTTGCAGGGAAGGAGCTGCGGAATGACCTGACGGTGCAGGTGAGACAGCCCGGGTGGGGGGTCTTGGGAGGCAGCCCACCCCATGGTGGACGCTGCCAGGCCGGCGTTCCCGCCCGCCGGTGTCGTTGGAGAGAATCAGTGGCGCCTGGAGACACCCTGAACTTTCCCTCCGCTCCGCTGATTCTGACCTTCTTAGTTATGCGTTAAGGCAGCAGGTAGGAGGGGGAGGGAGAGGGAAGACAGACAGACAGACACAGAGCACGGTGAGGTGGGGCGTGACTGCTCCTGGCTCCCGTGCTCTCTCCTCTCCACCTTCTTCCAGGAAAATCGTGGTGAGGAAGTTCAGGGCATGTCAGGGATGTGGCTCAGGGGTCATGCCCAGCCGTGAGCCCTGAAGGCTGCAGCCAGGTGCTGCTCTGCCCTGCGCCCACTCCCTGTGTGAGTGAGGAGGTCTCTCCCTCTGGACCATGCATATCCGGAGCTGGGAGCGAAGACCCAGCAAACGCGAGACTCCTGCTGCCTACATTGAATAATTTCTTTTTGTTTGCTTTTTGGGTCTCACCCAGCGATGCTCAGGGGTTATTCCTGGCTCTGCACTCAGGAATTACTCCTGGTGCTGCTTGGGGTACCGGATGGGATGCCAGGGATCACACCCAGGTCGGCTGCATGCAAGGCAAACGCCCTACCCGCTATGGTATTGCTGCGGCCCCTACATTGAATATTTGTATTTAGTTGCCTTGGTGTTACAGGCATGAATGGATATATAAGATGTCTAGTGATGGATATATTTTAAAAAATTGTTTTCGTTTGAAGCACCATGCTTTTCGAAGTTATTAATAATCAAGTTTTAGGCATATGATGCTTCAACACGGACCACTGACCAGTGTTGGCTTTCCCCCACCAGTGTCCCCACCCCTCCCCCCACACACACCTGTCACCTGGTGGACATACGTCAGGCCAGGGCTGTGCTGGGCTGGCCCGCTTTCAGTGCTGTCCAGGGCGTCTGGGATTTCTGGCTGTACCCCTCTCCAGCAACACATGTAACTGGGGCCCCTGCACCTGCGGGCTCCTCGCTCCCCTTCAAGATGCCCCTTAGTTTGATGCTTTACTTTGCCAACCGTGTGTCTCTGCAGGATCTGTAAGGCGGCACAACCCAGCCTTGGCTCCTTCTGCACAGGACCATGCCGTACAGCTTCCCCAGAGTATGGGGGTCCATGCAGTATCCGGGGGTCCACACAGTGTCTGGGGGTGCATGCAGTGTCTGGGGGTGCATGCAGTACCCAGGGGTGCATGCAGTCTCCGGGGGTCCATGCAGTATCTGGGGGTCCATGCAGCCATGCCAGGAGAGGCCGTCAGCCCAGGAAGCTCTGAGGTGCCTGCAGCCCTATGTGAGGTTTGGAAGGAGAAAGACCTTGTGGCCAGACTGGAACTCGGTGGGAAACTTGGATGGGCAGAGCACCCGTGTCTCCCCTGGGGGAGTCTATGCCTGCAGCAGGGGCTGGCGCAGGTTACAGGGGTTGAGCTGCCTTGCCCTGGGGGATCTAGGCAGAGTAGCGTGCCTTGGCACGGTGGGGGGGGGGGGTGTCTCCATAACCCCCAACCCCTGGGGGCCAGAGGCCACAGGCTCCATCCAGGGTGTTGGGAGGCGTTGGGGACCTGGGTGTTGGACTTCAGAGTCTGCCGCTGAAGAGAAGAGGGGCCCTGGGGGAGAGCGATCCCCTCTGGGGGCCCCGTGCCCCAGGATGAGACCTCCGCCCCAGCGCAGGGGCTTCTGAAAAGAATTCGGGGAAGAGGCGAAGGGCGAGTGGCAAGATGAAGAGGGGAAGGGGAACGCACCCTCGGACCTGCTGAGGGGTGGCTCTGTGCGGAAAGTCTCGAAGCTTCCTCAGGTTGGGGAGAACCGTTGGCTGGAGTGGTGGAGAGAGGAGGAGACCCAGGCCTTGCCAAGGGTCGGCCACTCTGGGGGGCTCCTGCGCTCACTACCGTGGGACCAGGGAGCCCGGACCAGGGAGCCTGGACCAGGGTTCTGTCCAGCAGACGGGCCCGCAGAGAAGGAGCCATGGTGAGTGTCCGGGCGGCAGCTGCTCTCCCAGCCAGGCAGCCTGTCTGCGAGGGCGTCGCTGCCCCCGACTGCCAGGGTGGGCAGCAGGGGCTGTGACCAGTGGGCGGCCAGGGCCAGGAGGCGCCTGACATGTTGAGCTGGGAAGGGCCAGGGACCCTGGCAGGATGGCCCCGGGGTCTAAGTTAGGCGGATTGTTGCTCCCTCCAGGGCCCATCCTGCCCTTGGTTTGGAGGAGTGGGGGATTCCCATCCTCAAGTCCCTAATGTGGGGACTCCTGGGCACTAGGATGCCTTGTATGACCGAAGGCAGTGACCACATGCGGTACGGGTGCCTGGCCTCCTGGGCTCCCGGCCTGTGTCCTCTCCAGGGCCCTTCAGACAGCCCCGTGCTGTGGCCAGAGGCTTCTGCAGGCCTGGGGGTAGGTGCTGCAGGGCCAGGACGGATGCCTCAGCCTGCTGGGTCCTGGGCTCTTCCCAGCAAGGCTCTGTTCTTCTCAGTGTCCTCTTGCTGTTCCGGCTGGATCCGGTGTGAAATGAAATGGCAACAACAATAATGTCGGCACCTACCGATAATAACGATCTTAGTGCCTGTCTTGTCCGAGTTTGTCTGAGGGTCTTAGAGGAGAACACGAGGCAGGAACACCGCACAGGCTCATGTCAGTATTATCATTACCCCATCGTCGTCCTGGTGGTCTTAGTTTCTTGGGAGTGTGGGGGGTCACTGTAATAATGTGAGGCTCCGCTCCTGAGTGAATTACGGTATCTACTGTACAAGCCCGCAACAGATCAGAGCATTCGGTTAATACTAATGGGACATGTATTTTACTGGGGCAAATGCATTTGTAAACATTTGCATGTTTGTGATATTTTTGCCTCTTAACAAAAATGGGAACTCTGGGGTCTGTAGAAATAATCTCGAGCCTTGTCTATGCAGGTTTTATTGTTCTTATTCTAAAATTTAAAATATTAAATGCAATATTTAAATAAAATCTTTAAATAAAATGTAAAATGATATTTTTAAATTCACTTTTAATTTTTCCCTACGACACCGTGGTTTACAAAGTAGCTCAGGTTTTATCATGATAGAATTTGAATTTAGCAATCTTCAGATGACTTTAAATTTTTTCTGGCTAAATGCAGAGAAAAATCAAAGCCTAGAGCTGCGGAGCTCAGCGGAGATTCATCATGGCATTATTGCTTCTAAAATAAATTTTCCTAAAGCGAACGTCTGCCACAGACCGTGGTTGTTATAATCAAATTGGAAGGAGTGATACAGGTTTTCCTACTTTTTAAACAATGCAGCTCGATATGTGTTTTTATGATTTCCCTTATACCTACAAGCATGCGCTATAAAATATTAATCTCTGGCATATTATTCACAGTGGATTGCTGTTCTCTGTGAAGAGCTCTTGTCAGCTCACAGAGGCGCGTTTGGGGAGTCCCCCGGGGGAGGTCACCTTCACCGCCCAGGTGTACTGCCTTCATGGCAAAGACCCCACTACAGAAAGTGAATTCATCTCCGCTTACTTTTAAATTTGTTCTCCAAGGTATGCAGGGAAAAATAAGATTCTAACGGAGTTGATGTTATCGAAACTGGCACGTGTGGCGATCAGATTAGTGGCTGAAATGACGGGGCTGTGAGACCGTACTCCAGAATTCCTCGTATTTCCCTGGACTACATTATTACAGTATCGTGGCTGTCAGCGTGGGCGTATCAGCAGGGGGCCGGGGGTGTTAGGAGCAGACCAGTGATCTAGGTCAGGAACCGGCCCAGGCCATCACGGAGGTGGACAGTTCCCAGGAGAGCATGTCCCGTCCAGCCGGACTGAAGGCGTGGCCTTGGGTTCTGGCAGAGGCCTGGAAGAAGCCGTGTTTGGGCTGAGTGCAAGGTGGGACGTACGCGCTCAGAGAAGCCTCTGGCAGAAGGGTCCCCTCTTTCCAGAGCGTGGGTGATTTGGGGGGACATGGGGGAGCAATGGGGTGGTCCCCAAGCGTGTCTGGGAATCCAGGGGTCCCTCCTGGCAGTACTTAGCCCAGTGGGACGGCCTGATGATTCATTCCCGGGTGGGTGCCTTGGTGCTGCGTGTGCCAGCCATGCTCGGACACTGCCCAGGGCATACCCAGCCATGCTCGCTGCCACCATTGCATACCCGCAGTGCTCAGGGGACCGTGCCATGCTGGGGACTGAGGAGCAAATGATCCCGAGGCAAAACTGTGTCATTGGTTACTGTCTGTATTCCAACATTTGTGGCGTGTGTAAGCAGACCTTCACCCGTGAGTTGAAATCATATTCAATGGCTAGAATAATTTAAGTTTTTGTGACCTGGCTCCACGTTGACGTGTTACCCTCAACAACATTCTAGACTGTTTCTGTCATGGCTGACACGTGGAACTCGGGGAACCACACGTGGTCCTGTGTTCTGTCAACCGCTGTGCACAAGTACCACTTAGCCGTGCCTGGAAAGTTGGTTTCTTAAAGAGCTTTATCTCTTTACTATAGAATCAAGACGTACTATTTTAAAGTTGATACATCTTAGTTATTAAATTATTACATAGACTAATTATCAATGCTATTTACATGCAACACATACAAGGTCTAAAATTCAACAAATAAAATCATACCTGCAAGCCCACTTCATTAATAATTACTAATTCTTTACTCTTTATGTTCTCACTTATAATTCTACCCTGTCTAATTCTGTAAGGTTCTCTTGTGTTTTACCGAAATTATAAATTCGTGTCACCAGAGGACATTAAATAAGCAAACTTTTGATATCTCTAGTATTGTTTTATCTTACTAGTACTTTTTTTTATATTCTTGATAAATCTAGTACTTTTTGTATTGACTTGGGTGTTGAGGAATCGGCAGTCTTCCTTGTTAACTTGCTGGATAAACCAGGGAGTTACACATTGCAAGTTGGATGGTTACATTTTATTTAAGCATGCCCATGGCAGAATACTAGTGTTCTCAGATATTC